TATATTTGCTTATCTTGTGTAGAGATCTCGACTTTGCTTAAAGCGTGATGATCTAGTGTTGAAAGCTCATGTTAGATTACCTAGGATCACTATGCTCGCATGTTTTCTCTTGTTTTCTTTTATTTTCTTGAGTTATGGAGATTCCGTGCAACCAATGCTTTGACCTTTCTTTCGATTCTTGCGTTTTTCATTATTTTCTCTTAGATTCTTAGTTCAATTTCGTGCAATCCATCCCCATCAAGCGAGTAGAATGTGTAGGATTTTGTTTTTGGTTATGTGACTTTGACGACTATGTACTGAACGAAGCTCCGCACAGCCTTCCTTTGAGAACGACCCGAGTCCGGGTAGCTCGGTTACCACTTGCCCAAAAATACTACAAACACTAACAAATCATTAAATAAAACATGGTTGTTGAAGCAAAATATATTTTTACCAAGTACCGAATCGAAAGATTCGTTCCCCGGGTCGATCTCTCGAAGAAGGCGGTTCGGAATCTAGGAATGGTGTTGATAACATATTAAAGAAAAATAAATCCTAAACACTCTAATCAAGATAGGGGTTTTTAATTATCAGCTACGAAAGAGAATTCAAACAATGCAAAATCGAACTTAAAAGCAAAGATGAAGATCAAAGGATAAGAAGCTAAGGAGTATGGGATGATGATTTTCTAACCAAAGCAAATATCAAGCTAAGATCATTCGGTTAAATTATTCGAGCAACCTAACGTCTAGATATAGTCCTCAATAACTCTTCGTAGCAAGAGGATAACATAGACGGTAAATCAAACAAATCACACAACACATAGACAATACATTTCCGAACAAGTCTATTTCATGCGAGCATAGATCGATCAACTCCTCCCCTTTCGATTCCAAGAGTTGATTAAATTATCCTAGACGATTGTTAATCTACTAGTTCGATAGATTTAAACACATCACACAAGAACGAATCATATTCAATTGGAGATCAATTGCAAATCGAAGTGTCACTCTTCGACAATAATCAACATTCAATGTACGAGAATTATAAACCCTAGTTAAGAACAACTCGCATAAATTGAGCGATCAACAAGCATGATAATCACAATTAAATTCTAAACATCATCATCATCCCCTATCCCTAGCGAAACGATTTAGCCACTCATATGGAATTCAAAATCAACAATCTCAACAATCAAAGCCACCATATTCATGAATTAGATGAAAAGAGAAACTTACGATTAATAGAAATCCAATATTCGAATCCAATGACAAAGCTAAATCCAGAAAAATAAAAAGAGAATTGAGCAAAAATAACGATCTAAATCTGAGTTTTTATAGAAGGAGAAAGTGAAAAAAGAATATTGGGGATTGTTCCCACGAGTCTAAGGATCGTTTTGATATATAGTGCGCGAAAAACGAAGCTAAAATGAGTAAAAACGAGCAAAAATAAAAACAGGGTCAGTCGCGAGTCGCGACTTTGCCTTTTCCTCGGTCGCGAGTCGCGCGTCGTCGTTTTTTAATATTCTGGGGCTGGTCGCGACCTCACTCACGTGTTGCGACTTCAACTCACGAGTTGCGACTTCGACACGGAACTGCTCCTTAAGCCTCAGTTTTTCTCGCGAGTCGCGACTTTCATCTCGCGAGTCGCGACTTTGGGCTCACGAGTCGCGACTTTTCTCTCGCGAGTCGCGACTTTGGACTGCATTGCGCAATTTTACGTTTCGGGCTCGTTTGGGCTGGTCCAAACTCGGAATTGAGTGCCGTTTTTTGCTATGCGTCACCAACGAACCCCTCTATTAGAATATGCGCTCGAAACAAACTTTTTCTGAGGAGAAAATTCTCCCGAAACTTCCGACCTACACACCAAAAACGACAAAACACAAAAGAAAACCGGAAAAAAAAATGAAAAACACCTAAAGACTCAAAATAAAGGAAAACACATAATAAAACACGAAATGGACTAAAAACTAAAGAAACGATCTAAAACGGGGGGAAAAGAAAGATAAATTAAATACGAAAAACGCAACAAAAATGGGACAAACAATGGTAATAAAACATAATAAATAAAACCTAATAAAGTTTACTTATGTGGCATTTTCCTTCCAACCGTTACAATCCATTATTATTATTATTATTATTATTATTATTATTTTATTATATCATATAATAGTTATTATTAAAATTAATAATTATATTTTACACTAAATGTTATATGAAAGTGACATAAACATCAACAATTATTGTAAAAAATTTTTGTTCAAGTCATTTATTCTAAAATCAATATTATATTTTTATCTTATTAAAATTTTTTTAAATAAGTTAATATATTTTAATGTCATAATAAAATTTCTTAAAATCGCATAAACAACTGTTATACTAAATTTAATATTTTTAGCTAAGAGCTCTCAAAACTACAAAAATTACATTATTTATTATATTTTATTCAAAAAATATAGTGATTCATATGCAGTCAAATCTTTATTTTACTATTTATTTTAACCAATGATAAAATTTTAAAACATGTTACTATTATCTAACTTATAATTTTAATATAATATGTATAAATATAACTTATAATACTCTATGTTTAAAATATAATATCAGTATCTAACTTATAATTTTAATATTATATACTTATAAATAACTTATAATATCTTATTACTATCTATGCAAATGCACATAATCGAATACTAGTATATTTCTCCCTAAAGTTTATAAGTTTCTCCCAGAGGCAACTTCCTCACTGTAATCACCACCGCTAAAGCACACTTCTCGATCTCCGAGCATCTCCTCTCCGCACCTTGCATCACCCCACTCACATAATAGATTGGAAATTGTACCATTCCCTCTTCTCGCAACAACACTGAACTGACCGCCGTTTCACCGATCAAAACGTATAACACAAGGTCCTCCCCGTGAACCGGCTTGGCCAACAAAGGCAGGTTGGCTAACACCTTCTGCAACTCCTCGAATGATTTATGAGCCTCCTCCGTCCATTGAAATTTCTAGCTCTTCCTAAACGTTCGAAACAACGGGTCACTCTTCTCCGCCACCTTTGAAATGAAACGACTCAGGCCCGCAATTCGACCAGTCAAGATCTGCACCTCCTTCACTTTTGTGGGTGGTTTCATCTCGATCACCGCTCGAACTTTTTTCGGGTTCACCTCGATCCCTCTCTCCGTCACTATATAACTCAGAAATTTTCCCGACTTCACACCATCACCTCGATCCCTCTCTTTTGTTGGGATCTGTGAGGATCTCGTTATGTACAAGTCACGAATTCAATAGCAAACATAAACCTATGCGCAGCGGATCTAAAGGTTTGACGTAGAGAACTTACGGCTTAAAATTTATGTAGATCTGGTTGACCACGAACGGTTGACCGCAATTAATTGACCGCAAATCACGTCTTGGGTTGCACGAACAAGATCAGATCAAAATAGGATCAAACAGATGCAAACAGATCAAAATGAAACTTTGCAGCCTGGGAGCTTCCGGCGGCGCGTGAGGGCGCGTGAGGCGTCGGAAGGCTGCAATCTTGGCGGCAAAGGAAAGCTCTCGTCGAGACGGTCGTCTAGGTATGCTGTACGTCTCAATCGGACTTTCGGTTAGTTCTGTAGGTCAAAATATATTTCGTCTCGGTTTACCTACAGATCTTCTACTGTATTACTCAATACACCCTTCTTCTACTTGTACCAGTGGAGCAACAAGAAGAAGATAAAACTTGAATGAGATCTAAAGAGAGAGAGAGAGAGGCGTGGGGCGTGTCTCGTTAGAATAGGATTGGGATTCTCTTCTCATGAGCTTAATGATGTATATATAGAGCTACAGTAGGGACCCTTAGGAGATTAAGAAAAGGGCTCCTTAATTAATTAGACTAACTGTGGGCCAAGCTCACTCTTCTAATTAATTAAATAATATTAATGGGCCACCAACATTATATTATTGCACTCCCTTTTCCTAGCCCAAATTACATTTGAGACTCCAATAATAATTACTCGATTTACCTCCCCACATTTAAGATATAATGTCCATTAATTAATTCGATTACTGACAATCAAGAATTAATTAATTTATTATTATTTCACCGAAGCTAGCGCTCGTTCATCACATTCTTATTATGCCGGAACTTAATCCACCTGCAGGGTTTAGCATAACAATCCTTCATGAACTCACTCCGGAGACATCATCAAACTAACGCACATGGTGACCGTAAATATCCTAACAGCACATCATATATATAATAATATTACCCAAAACAGTAGGAATATTAACCCAACGAGTTGAACCTCACCCATGTGAATCAAAGTAATATATATTATATATATCTGTCTGTTTAATATCTTACGGGTTAAGAGAACGCAGTAATTAACCGAGGCCTAGTTCATTTATGACGATCAGTATAAAATGAACTTCTCCTCTTTGGGATCCTGTTGAATACATAAATGTACTAGTGCAACTAATTAGTCAAGACAAACTGTACAGTTGACACTACAACCGTTCGGATGGGGTGTTCATGTCCATCTAGGTTGTGAACAACTATTCTTGTTCGCAAGAGACTGATAGAGTGATCTTCGGTTCGACCGATGACGACCCACCCTATCTAAGTGCAGAACAACAGAACGTAGAACTTATTTAATCTAACACAATTCTCATTCATAAAGGGCAAATGTGTAATACATACAAAACCAAGCTTTCAGTATATAACACTAACCGGGGTTGACATATCAGTACCCAAAAGAAGCACGATACACGGTGCCTCCCGCAGTTCACCAGCAAAGGCCGTGTGAGACAATAAAAGAACCTGTGGTGGCGGTGGCGGAGGCAAGGAACGAGGTGGTGAAGGATGAAGGACTAATCTAACTCCCTCAAACATGAAAATGTATGTGTTGAGACGACCGTCAAAAGCCACCGCGCGATCAAATTGCCATGGACGACCTAATAAGAGATGACACGCGTCCATGGGCACCACATCACACCACACCGAATCACGATACTTGGGCCTGATGGAAAACTGGATCAACACCCGACGGTCCACTGTGATGGCGTTACCTCGCTGAATCCACGCCAAGGTGTACGGTGAGGATGCGGTACCGTCGATAACTGAAGGCGATCAACAGCATCCTGGGCCACTATGTTTTCACAAGAACCAGAGTCAATAATAAAACGACAAACACGACCACCTACCGTACATGTAGATTCAAAAATATGGTGACGCTGTAAAGACTCAATAGTGTCAGAAACTCGAGGTGCCAAACACGAGCGGCAAAGAACCAAAGCAAGGCCCTCGTCGCCACACAGATGTTCCTCCTCCAGGTCTGGCTCGACATCAAACTTTGGCGGTCCATCATAAGCAACCTCCGCCGATCCGTCAAAGTCATCTGTCAGCAGAGCCTGAGAGCTGTTGCGGCAGGGACAGGCGGACTGACGGTGGCCTACCTCGCCGCAGGAAAAACAACGAGGACCACCTCCGGCGCGCGACCCCTCTTTCCCGGCTGAGGCAGTCCCGATTCTGATGGTCGTGCTGGTCGACGCTCCAGCTGTGGGAAATTCGGTCGGTCCTGTCGAGTTGCTGTGACCACCCGTCAACGGCGACCGGTTCAGCCCGGGTGACGAAGACGGAGCGCCTCCTACGCGCGGTTGAAAACCCGAGGACGGCAAGGGTCGTCGCGACTGCTGTTGTTCAATGAGTAAGGCCCGTTAATGAGCGGAAGGGGTTGTTTCCGGGGTGAACATGTTCAACATGTCGCGAATGGCAAGGCGCAATCCTCCTACATAACGTGACACCTTTTGAGTCGTCGTTTCACGTAGCTTGACACGCGTAAGAAGACGATAGAAATCCTCTGTATACTCGTCCACGGATCGAACTCCTTGTCGTAGATTATGGAATTGTTGATACGTGGTACGATGTAGTTGAACGGAAGAAACTCCCGCTCGATATGTTTCCGAAATTTGGCTCACGTTGCGATATTAGGTTTACCTAACAGACGCCTCTCGTCTTTGAGATGTTGCCACCAGGCGACTGCCCGTCCACGCAGTCGCGTGCCGACAAGCCCAACTCGATGGTTTTCGGGCACGTCTTTGTACTTAAAAACCGCCTTCACCGAAGCAAGCCAATCCAGAAATTCGGCGGCGTCCAGCCCACCCGAGAACTCTGGGATATCCACGCGAAACGCACTCTCCCAACGCCGTTCGCCGCGCGGGTCGTCATCTCCACGAGGATCATCTCGCCCAAACGGGTTTCCCTCCTCCTCCGTAGCGTCCAAGTCGCCGCCCTCCTCCTCGTACGGCGCACGTCGACCACCACCAAAACGCGCGTGACCGCGACCTCCACGGCCACCACGCTGTCCACTGCGACTGTCGTCCCGATGATCGGGCCCGTCACGGTTCGTCTGCTCGCGTTGCATCAAGGTTTGGAGAGCCTCACGAATATTCTCCATTCTCCCCATCAAATCCGACATATCGTGGCCCATCGATTGGAACTGCCGCCAGAAACCCTCGCCTTGTCGCGTGAGGGCTTCAATTGTCGCGTCCCTTCGCTCGTCAGCCGTGGTGTCGTTCCTCTTGGGCGGCATCGTGGATCGTAGCTAACCCTGGATACCAACTGATGTAGCGCACCGTAAACGAAAAGGGAACAAGAGATAAATCTCAAGAACTGATAAAATTATTCATAAACATCCAATGTCTTCAAATGAAAGAGACGATATAAATAAATTCCCAACTATTCCTAATCCTTATCTTGCTAATTAAGTAAATAATAATACCTAGGAAAAGAGAATAAAGCATAATAATAAAATATCTAAGAAATAAATAACTAAACTGAAGATGGTCAACGATCATATTTTTCCATATATGCCATCACGATCTCGTCTCCATCAGTTTGTAAACTCAAAGGAACCAAAAATATCTCAGAATGAGTTTTCTATAGAAATTTTGATTTATGAGTAATTGTCTTCACGTGCCAAGTTTAGAAAGAACTCGTGTTCAGTTTCTAAATTGGGTATGGGTAAAAATGTGACGTTTTATCCATTTGGTATGTGGGTAGACAATTTATGAACTCAATGAGACAAAATATCTCACAGGTGCAGTTGATGAAATAAATAGCACATCGACTAGAATCAATAAAAAGAAAGGTCCTTCAATGAATGAATCATACATTATTTTTAGTATCTAGTATTTGGGAGTTTTACAATAGTAGAATTCAAAGGTGGATAGCCACTTATGTGTTCTTTGGGAATAGATGAAACTATCTGACCTACGAATTATACTTAGTAGCTGAAATGACACAAACAACCTTATGTAGGTCAAGGGATTTAGAAACCAAATAAATGTTAGGAATGATTCATCCAATTTGTGAAGTCCTATGATTTTTAGAATAAAAAGGTAGTTTTGAATATTTTTCTTTGAAGAAATTTGTTCAAAACAGGGTACATTAAGTGACATTTCATAAGCTTAAGTACATCAAAAGAGTGCAATGGCAGTTATGGAAAAATGTCGAGATTAATGTATCAGTGGCATTACGATCGAAATCATAGTGACTAATACCTTTTGGAAAATCATTAAAATACTTGTTAGATGTTGAGATATGGTCTCAACAGGTTGCATCTAGTTCATCAGAACGGGACGATGTAACTTGACGAAGGAAAATGTCTTTTAAGTAGATTGGTTATGTCAAGGATTATTAGGAATTTCATTTTTATTTTTATTTTTTCCGTGTTGGAGTTATGCAAATAGAAGGGAAAGTTCTGAACATAGTTCCATATAAGTTAGTAGTCATTACTCTGAATGAATTGTAGACAAAGGCATAGGCCTAGTCAGGAATACATTCAGATTCAGAGTGTTTCGGCACACGTACTGGAAAGGATGATACTAATAGGATTGGAAAGGTTGTTCGGAAAATAGGCTATTTGTGGGATACTTCATAGTAACGAGAAATGAGTGGATTATTTTATAGTACTAAAAGTCAGAAGGTGATCGTTAGTACGAATGCCTGTTTTTTAGAGGAATACTAAGTAATAAACCACAAAACCCATTTGTAGAATTGTTTTGAGGAAAGATAAAGGTGAATGCTCAACTTTGTTACCAAGTGTACAAATATGATACCACAATAAAGACTGCAACACGTATTTTGTGCTATACACTTTTGCAGAGGGAACGTCGTTGTAGTGGGAGGGTTGCAAAACAACTCCATGAAATCGTGACAATGAGAGAGTCATTGGAATCGGTCTCTAGTAAACACGAGATCATGATATTCATGTTTTGAGAAAAGTCCTGGACTTAGTCTCTAGTAAACTTGAAGTCATCCCTAGTTATACAATTAGATCTAAGACAAAGATGTAGAAACTTAGCAAAGTTTTAATGATTTCTGATTTGGAGTCGTGGACTCTAATCAGATCTGGGTTCTTATAGAATTACCTAGTAGCATATGGGCTATCGGACGAAATCTATAAGTGAAGACTTTAGTACAAGGCTTATTGTGAAATAACAAACTCAGAAAGAATGGGGTATATTAAGAGTAAGTTTTTTCACCGGTAGCCATGTTTAAGTCTGTATAAATGTAAGGCTTGTTGAGAAATAGTAAACTCAGAAAGAATGGGATCCATTATGAGTTAGGCTTTTCACAAGTAGCCAAATGTAAAGTTGTTGTCACTCATATGAGTTATGAGATTAGGCAAAGTGGATGTCAAGACATTTTCCTTAACCGGGAGCTTTGTGGGAATATCCATGAGCAGCACCCAGAAGTGTTCATTAGAAAAGGGCTAAGAGCATCTAGTCACTAGACTGAAACAGTTCATCTATGGATTATAATGAGCTGGACATTTAGTTGATAAGTTCGAATCGTGGATTCGATTATTCAACAAATGAGCATTGTGAGTGGCGCAATGGAAGCGTGATGGTATTTTTGTACTACGTGTTGATAACATCTTGATCATTGGAGACAGTGTGAGACTGTCGAATGACATAAGGGTATGGTTATCCAAGTAGTTGGATATGAAGGATTCGGAATCAACAAATATATATATATATATAGGAGCGAGATACCTGCCCTAAGAGCTGCCCAGATTTGGTGAGCTGTCTGCCCAACTCTGGCCGGATCTGCCTGTCCGTACACACGCAGTGTGTGTGTGTCAGAGGTGGTTATCGTCATTATTGCTCTGCACCAATATCTTCTCGCCACGTGCCCCTCTGAACAGAGAGTAATTATTCCCTTGAATATTCCTTCGGATTTCCTGACAAAGTCCACGCGCTTTGTTGCGTTCACACCACGCCCGCGATTGCTCTTCACTCGCCGAGTGGTCGATCAAATGAGCTCTTCGATCAGATAGACTCTTCTATAGTAGGTCGATCCTCGACCAGATCTGCTGCACGATTCGACCACTTCCTCTGGGCCTACTACTACTCGACCAACGTAGTATCTCCGTCATTTAGCTCGTCTGACTGGCCTAACGAGCTGGTTTATTCCTTAGGCATATAATATCCCATATCAAACAGCACCTATGTAACACACGGGTGTTGTACTAGTTAAAACATATAGAAGAACATAAACATTATGATTTCAAGTGTCACTCCAAGAAAATGATGAAATTCCAATAGAAAAATATCCTAGTGGGATTCCAACGACAATTCAAGTGGCTATTTCAATGCTATTATTTTAGTTGGAATTTTCTAATGGATTCCAACGGAAATTACAACAAAATATTCCGTTAGAATGAGTTCTCCATTGGAAATTACGTTGGATTTTGATGATTCAAATAGTAAATTTTTCAGCGGTTGAAAAATGAGTGAAAATAAAAAAATCCAACAGAAATTGTATATTTCAACAAAAATTTCTACGGTAAAAAATTGTTGGAAAAATAGTCGTTGGATTCATCAAATTCTATCTAAAATTCAAACAGAAAGGTCATTCCAATAGAACATTTTTGTTGGAATTGCCGTTGTGATCATTCCAACGGAAGTTGTAGCATTGAAAAATCCGTTAGAATTTTACAATATATTACCGTAAGATTTTTCGTTGGAATATGTCAATTTTTTTTTGTAGTGTGTTCACATGGAGTTTTGACTTAATATGTGATATTTACAAAAGATTAATAATACATGATAGGGAAATATAAACCACAATTATAATCAAGTTTAAAAAATTTAAATTAAATTCAAGGATTGTAGATAATGTAATTTGTTTTAGACAAATAAAATTAAAAAAAAAATGATTGAAAATGTACCATTTTTAGCAAATTAAATGCATGTCATTTTAAATAATTATTACTTTATTAATTTTTAATTATTTATTTTATATTTATCTTTTACAATTTCACAGTATGAAATAAATTCTTTTACTCCTTAATTTTTTATTGTACAAATATTTGTTTTTCAATCATACAATGTACTGAAATCGTACTAGTTAAGTAGTTATTAGGTATCGTACCACCAGAACATTTTATGTTAGCCTGAACTTGGTGTACTTAGCCTTAGTTTTTGGTTAAAAACATTCAATTCCTTTTGCGAAGAGCCTTCTCTCCTCTTTTAACAAAAGAAAAATAAATATTAAGTCAACTTACCTGAAACCGCATCATAATATCCGGTGAATCCTAATATAGTTACAAGATAAATGAATATGTATGTTGCTAATTCAAATTGGATTCGTAAAATAATAATAATATGAATCTCATAAAAAAAATCTCATCTCAATCAAGCACTGATTGTCAAACAACGATTTGGTCAACGTATTACAAAGCATCGCGCATTCCCTGCGAAGAAAACAGATTCATATTTATTGCTACTGTTGTTGTAATTACCATTTTATTTGGTAGGTTCAGAGTGTAATGTTCATAATTCGTACGAATTATCACAACAATATTCCAACAATGAAATGTGTAGCCAAAAAAAAAAAAATCCACCTAATATAATTATTCCGAATCCCAAATTAAATATCATCTATCCACACTCATAATTTTGAACAATTGCCATAACCCCGAAAACAAGAATTATTCCCTAAAATAATCACTTGCATCCAACGAGCAACCACAAGTTGAACAGCTAAGACCGAATTCCAATCTATCCAATCCCATCAACGTCTCTATATAAACAAATGGCAAGACAAAATAGGGGGNAAAATGGCTAGAAAGAAAGTCACCCTTGCATACATCGAAGTCGACTCTGAGAGGAAAGCCTCTCTCCGAAAACGTAAGAGAGGCTTAATGAACAAGGCCCGAGAAATCGGGACGTTGTGTGATGTCCCGGTATGCGTCATAGTGTACAGCCCGTTTGACGAGGAGGCAGAGGTGTACCCATCGCGGGCCGAGGCCCAAGCTGTTGTGGGTCGCTTCTACAGGCTCTCAGAGGCTGAACGGACTCGGAAGATGGTGAATCAAGAAACTTTCACTCAACAGCGCATACTGAAGGCACAGGCGCAGCTGAGCAGGCTCCACAGGGAGAAGAGGCGTCGGGAGCTGGAGAAGTACGTGTACAGATGTATGGGAGGGAGCGCGAGAATTGAAGACGTGGAGGCAAGTGACGTGAAGGAGATTGGTTGGGTCATAAACGAGGTCCTTAGGGACATTACGTCCCGGATGGAGAAGGTGAAAGGAAAGGCCAAGGAGGAAGAAAATGAGGAAGAGACGGAGGAAAAGGAGGAGGATAGGCTGAATAGCTATATGTTGAGCATAGCGGATAGCCTGACGGAGCTCCAACGGATTGGGAGTAGTCGAGATGAGGTGGGGTGGGACCTGTCGGCTTTGGCGTATCCGTACATGTTCAACAACGCGCAAGGATCTGGAGGGCAGCAGCGCTAGCTAGCTGCATTGATTTAATTACTTTATGTGCATCTTTGTGGGCTATCGTGTTATGATGATGACTAGATTTGTGTTCTTCTTCATTTTTTTTAAAATTTGAATTAATGTCTCCATTTGATGTTACAAAATTTGATAATTAAAAATGTGGGTTGTTGTTAATTGATGGAATTAAACGAAGTCTTGATGCATGAGATTGTTTGGTGTTGTGTTTGTGTAGTGGAGTCGTCGTGGGATGATAGTAATTAAAGAACTGGTATTAAAGGGGATAATGAACGGCGCGGCGCGCGTGTGATTGTTTGGTCGAGGAGTTGAAGAATATATGGCAGCGAAGAGTTGAGGAAGAAGAATGTTGATAATAATTAATAATTGTTGTTGTGGGTGAATCTCATGTGGAGATCGATGGAATTAAGAAGCTTCCGACAATAATAGTGTTTGTTTTAATGAAAACCCGCCAAATAATGATAAAACGCAAAACAATGACATGTTGTAAAAGCAGAAAAAGCCACGTGTCGTCTGGTCGCAAGAGCTTCACCGCAAATTTGTTGCTGCCGATAATGAATTGGGAGTCGATATATAGTAAGTAGTCTACTTTTTTTTTCTTTCATTTTTAATCTGAGGAACAAGCGTTACGTACATATATATAAGTATATGGTAGAAGCTGTGACGAAACAGATCGATCATGGAGCTTATGAATGTCAAAGGTACTTCGACGAAACATGTCGCCAACCTATCTCCACGCAAAATCTCTATCTCAGTGCTTAGTATACAATCTCTATTTAAGTACTCTATCTATCTAGCTATTAATTAATCCATCATGTGTCTTGTCTCTTTTTAACTTTCTATATTTGAGTGATACTCACTATTTGCTCAACATGTCCAGTTATGTGCCAGCACACGCACGGCAAGTCGACATTTTCCACAATATTGCAACATTCTTTGGACGGGGTTTCTCTGGGGCCCGTTTTCTGAACATACCTTGAGCATTGCTGCATAAGGCTTTGAAAATTACCTTCGCATTGTGTCATTACCACGGTAGTAGCGGTGAGCACCACCACACAGAAAAAAATAGGGCAAGATAGGTTTTAGAGGATATCGACATTTGTTTAAGCATGATGCCGAACGTGAGCTTTGGTATCGTGGTCAAAAGGCGAGATCGCGGGCCAACAAGCAAACAACGCACCATTATTGGGCGTGCCGCGTGCCATCATTTAACAGTGCTTGTGATAATTATGATAATCAACACATGATTAAGGGAATACGACAATGTGTATCTTGTTCAACTTCAATGGGCAGTTAGTCAAGAGATTGATATATGAGTATGGGTTCAAGGAATGCCAATGCCGATAACTAACAATGTATCATCCATTTGCTGGTTACAGTGATTAATGGAGGTATATAGTAAAAAAATAATAATGATAACAAGTGTTCTGTGGTCCTTTTTTCTTTATAGCTTATATTAAACTAAATTGTGTGTAAAACTTAATATTACTTTAATTGCATGTTGTTTATTTGAATGTCTCCAAAGTGCAATGTATGGTGATATTTGTTTATTTGAATGTCCCATATGTATCGCGTGTGGAAAAAAGAGACTAACATATGTTTATTTGAATGTTCATGAAGAAGGTTATTTTTGGGAGATATAGATGGTATAACTATAGCGAACAATTTCTTTTGGCGGTTACTATTCACCGCCCCCTATTTTACTAGTTACCGCTCTCCTTGGACAATTTTGTCTTTCTCATTTTTTCTAAACATCTCAGAGGAAAGTGTACGGTGAAATGTCGTCAAATTCGGAGGACGAAAAAATACGTGTACGGCCGCCGGTTCCAGACGGCTTTTAGCCCGTCCGGCCGCTGGAACCGGACGGTCTTTAAGCCGTCCGGACCGGCCGGCCGGACGAGCTAAAAGCCGTCCGGAAAGCACGGCCGGTCGGACCGTCCGTGTCCGAACCGGCCGTCCGGAAATGACGGCCGGTCGGAACCGGTCCGTCCGGTTCGGCCGGCCGGCCGTAATTTTTTTTTTTTTTAAATTATTATGTTATTTATTCGAAATAGTTATGTTATAAATTGGACTATATTATTATGTTATAAATTATTATGTTACATTTTAGACTTGATTATGCTATAAATTGGACGTTTATCGTGTTAGGAGTTACAAATTATTATGTTACATGTTGATTATAATATAAATTGGACGTTTAGATATTATCGTGTTACGAGTTAGAAATTATTACATTATATATTAGTTTTAGTTATGTTATAAATTGACGTTAGATAGTATCGTGTTAAGAGTTACAAATTATTATGTTACATGTTTATTATAATATAAATTGGACGTTAGATATTATCGTGATCGTGTTAGGAGTTACAAATTATATTAATTGAACGTTAGATAATATCATGTTACGAGTTACAAATTATTATGTTACATCGTAGAATTAATTATCTTAATTTAACATGTTCTAAAAATAAAAATATTGTACTATATAGCAGGAGTCATGGGAAGAATTTGGAGGAGATGGTGTTGATTACAGTCTGCGTTTCGATACATGTTCATTCTATAATAGTGCTCAGGAGGCTATTGAAGCTGCAAAACACCAGGCAATGCTGAATGGTTTCCTATTAATTATTTCGAGCCACAAAAAGAAAACGGTCAGACTTTTGAAGTGCCATAGAGGCGAACGGTACAGAGGCACAGGTGGAAATTCTAGAAGGACAAAAATGAATAAGTGCGGCTGCAATTTTGAGATCAAAGTAAAAAAGGTGTCCGGCGTTCCATACTGGAGGATCTGTAGATGTAGCAATGAAGAGAAAGGCTACCATAACCATGCATTTGCTGTGCATCCTGAGGGTCATAGCCAGTTGAGCGGTCTCAGTGCTTCATTTAAGAGAATTGTTCGTGACATGACGGACGCTCAGGTGGCCCCGAAAAAAATTATGACCGCGCTGAAGGAAAAGAATCCGGGAGACAACGTTCATGTGCGGCAGGTATATATATTTATATCTTGTAATATATGTTTTAATTAGATTTTTTTAAGTTAATTATGATAATTAGTAATTTTTTATATGTAAAAGTTATTGTAATAATTAATAAATTTTATTATATTTACTAATGTATTATTATTTTGATAGTTAATAATTTTTTTATCAAATTAATCGCATTAATATACTTTTTTATTTATTAATATAATAAAAATTTTTTTATTAAATTATAATAATCATTATAATTAACGCTAATCGGTGACAGGTATATAACTCTAGAGATAAGCTGCGGAGAGAGAGTTCCGACGGTAGAGACGTTCCTACTCAGCTTATGCATTTGGCCGTGAGCAGCGAGTATACAGTTTATGTAGAATCCGATCCGAACACGAAAGTGTTGACGCATATATTCATGGCCCATCCTACGTCGATCAATCTATTCCGGACATATCACTGGTATGTCGGTATAGATTCCACGTATAAAACCAACAGGTATGTTACTTTATAAATACTTTATTAGTATGAATCTTAAAAGTGTTGACGCATATATTTATGTGCTTATATTTTTTGTCTTCTTGGTCACATTTGCACAGGTACAAGATGCCGTTGGTCGAGATGATTGGGATGACGCCGTGCAACCAGAACTTCCTAATTGCGTATGCCCTCATCAGGGACGAGAAAGAGACCAGTTACGACTGCGTTCTAGAGAAGTTGAGACTACTGATAGGCCAAAGCGTATATCCTTATGTTGTTGTCAGTGACAGAGAGTTGGGTCTACTCACTCCTATTCAGAGGCATTTTCCTGAATCAGCCCACTTACTCTGCACGTGGCACATCAACAAGGATGTTGAAGCCAAAACGTACCAACTATTTGGGAAGAATAAAAAATTCTCGGAGATTTTCACGCACAGTACGTGGAAGGCGATTGCAGAGGCCAGTACGTTCGATGCCTACAACGATGCCGTTGCCGAGCTGCGCAAAAAATATTCGAACAACAAAGAGGTGCTACGGTATGTGGAGGGCACATGGTTAGTGCACCGCGAGAAGTTTGTGAAGGCTTGGACGAACCGATTGAGACATTTTGGAAACACAACTTCCTGTAGGGTGGAGAGTGCCCACTCTGCGTTGAAGGAGTGGCTTCAGACGTCCACCGGCGCGCTCGATACGGTTTGGCAGAAGGTTAATAAGCATATCGATAATCAAGTGACTGAAATCAAGTACGTACTGCAATTTTTAAATGCGTTATTATATTACTGCATTAATTAATTATAATCTAACGTTATGTAACGTATTATCAGGACGGCGCTTGAGGCCTCGAGATCTAAGAAGAATACACGGTATAAGGGAATCCGTTTCGCGAGCGTGATACTCAGGGTCTCGCATTACTGTCTGAGTTTATTGGACGCTGAGCTTACGAGGATGAAAAAGTTGGACACCGATGTTTACACGAGCTGCGGTTGTGTATTACAGCTCACTCATGGACTTCCTTGTGCCTGTCTCCTCCGTAACTCAGAAGATTTCGACGTTCCGATTGATCTCGGAATGATTCACCAGTTCTGGAGAACGCTCGAGATATTAGAGCCAGGTAATTTAAGATTAATGTTTTATTTATAATTTTCTATTAAAATACATTATTTGTTTTAATTCATTGACTTTTTTATCGTATACTTGTAGGGACTGGTCATCCGAGTCAGGCGAGCAACGCTGCATGGTCAGATGCGGCGTTCTTTCAGACGCTTGTGACTGAGGTTGAAACCCGCGATCCCGCGACGATGCGGTACGTGAATCAGTTCATGTACAGTCATCTTTACCCAGACCAACAGGATTATGCGGAACCTGAGGTTAAGGATAACCCGCGAGGTCGTCCCAAGAAAACTAATTCAACTAAGCGTAAACCATCTGCTTTTGAGTACAACGATAAATCGCGAGGTCGGAAATCGAGCCGTACGACCAATTCTTCGCGTGGACAGACAAGTTCGTCTTCTCAACAGTCACAAGGGGATGAAGGTCATACATTTTTTTTTAAATACGGCTGAGCGTTAATTAAAGTATTTATATGATTATATAAATTGTGACGTGAAATTATTATGATATTTATTGCAGAGT